GGGAGGGAAGGCCGGGGGAGCCCAGCTTACCCAGCGGCGTGGCGTTCGCTCCGGTAGCCATGGCGCCCCCCGGAGACCCGCACCAGCGGCTCCTCCTCAGCGGCGGCTTCTCCTTAGCGAACCTTCCGGGGGGAGGGGACCCGACTGCGCTGCCGCGGAACGCGCGGAGCCCGTCCTCTCACGCGGCGGCGGCGGCGGCGCGAGACGCACAAAGAGGGAGGAGAGAGGGCGCCGCGGGGGCGGGCCGGGGGCGAGGGGCTGGAGCCTGGATTGGGTCGCGCTGAGGCAAAGGGTCGGATCAGACGTCTCCGATTGGCGGAACTTCAGTCCTTCTGGATGCGCGCTGGGATTGGCCGGACCGTTAGGCAAGGCGAGGAAATGGCGGCCGAGCCCGGAGAGTTGGGAGGTGTCGCAGCGCGCACTTCATTTGTTACTGCGCGAACAGAGCCAGGAGTACAGAAAGGAGGGGTTAGGGCGGGGCATGCTATGACGTAGCTTGAACTGCGCTCTCATTGGCTAAACGTTATGGAATCAGTCAAACTCGGTTGCGTCGTAGTGTCTTGGATTGGCCGTCGCAGGTTCGCTTGGGAGTAAGCGAGAGGTCGCGACGGAAACGCCGCGGCCCAGTGAGATTTACGGCGGGGGAGGAGTGGAGTAGAAGCGCGCATGCGTAGACTGGGCAAAGCCGCCTCTGGCTTCTTGGTCGCTCTTGGGGTCGGGAGCCTAAACCTGTGACGTCAATTCTCGATTCCCATGGTAACCCGGAACCGTGGTGGGGGCGGGTCTGGCGCGTGCCTGTAAACGGGGTCCGCTGACGCCGCAGGTAGAAAAGGACATCCTGTTTTCTTTGAAAAAAATAGAAATGGGGGAAAATAGCCATAAAAGAGAGTCTGATTGATTGAAAAACTGAGCTGATGGAACAACATAACCTTAGGTGGAAAAGAATGTAAACTTGTCAATTCTAAAATTAGTTTACAAATATGCAGTGTCATTAGAATCCCAGCGTGGGGTTAATTTAATCGTGCGTATATGATACCACCTCAACAAAAACTCTGAACAATGAAGTTTAGAGAATGTTTGAGTTGTTGGGACTTACTGATATGACAGTAGGGTGGTGCACCCTGACTCAACACTACATCAGCTCCTGGGCTCAGGACCCTTATACCAGAAGGTTGCCAGTTTGATTCCCTTTCAGGACACATGCCCAGGTTCTGGGCTTGATCCCTCAGTAGGGGGCGTACAGGAGGCAGCCAGTCCATGTTTCTTCCTCTCCCTTCCTGCCTCTCTAAAAAACCAATTTAAGCACACACACAGAAACAACCCTATTTTTTGAAAGGAGCAAAAGATTTGAACACACTTTACTAAAGAGGATGTATGGAAAATAAGCACAGGGAAAGATGCTCAGTATCATTAGTAAGGAAATGCAAATTAAAACCTATGAGATACCACACGGATGGCAAAAATTAAGCAAGACTGACTATATATACTGTTAACAAGGATGTGGAGGAGCTGAAACTTTCCTCCACTGCTTGTAGGAATGTAAAATGCTACAACCACTTTGGAAAAGTTTTGCAGTTTTGTAAAAAAGTTAACCATATCTACCATATGACCCAGTCCTTCCATTCCAGAGTATTGTCTACATAAGAAGATACAAACCTGTATGAGAGTTTGAGTTCTATTTGAGCCAAACAGCATGCTGGTGTAGACAAAAAAGGGGCTCCCTTGAGGGTGGTCACATCTCTGAGGGGTCTGCCTAAGAGGATTACCCCTGGCATTCCAAAGGTGTGTGAACCAATATACAAAAGAGCAATGGACACGGCCAACTTAAGGCAAAGATAAACCTTTTATAGGCCTGGGGTGTGACTACCCACCATGACCTGCCCAGTTAAGAATTTATGATCAGATCACCCTGTGAGGTTACTTTCTGTTGGATTTATTGCAGTGCCCCTATTTTGTCCATAGTACTTACCAAAATGAAAGTATATAGCCACACAAAGACCATGAATGTTGCTAGCAGCTTTATTTCTAATAGTCCCAAACTGGAAACAGCCCAGGTGACTAGCTAAACAAATTGTGGTACATCTCCATACAATGGAATACTACTTGGCAATAAAAAGGAATGACTATTAATGCATGCAACAACATGGAAGAAACTCAAAATAATTGTGTTTAGTGAAGCCAGAGAGAAACGGGGTACATAGTGTATGATGCTATTTATATAAATTCTGAAAAATGCAAATTCATCTATACTGACAGGAAGCAGACCACTGGTTATTTGGGGACGGGGAGGTGAAGAAGAGGGGGGGGTGTCTACAAAGAGGCAGAGGAAGCTTTTGGGGGTGATGAAGATGTTTGTTATCTTGCTTGTGGTAATGGTTTCACAGGTGTTTATATATGTCAAAGTCATCAAAGAGTACGTTTTAATATATGTGGTTTTACTCTATGCCAATTATAACTCCATAAAGCTGTTTTTAAAAAGCAACAATAGAAGAAAGCAATTATTGGGAAATATCTGCCCACAGTTCTACACAGAACTCTGATTTCATCATTTCCACTGGATGTCCTCATCTAGGAAAAGATTATCTTGGCTTTTTGTTTTTTAAGCCATTATAGGGCTTTAATTTTTGCGATTAATTTACAGTATTTCAACTTAATCTTTTATTACATAGTATTTGATACATACAAAAGGGTGTGTGCACCTTATGTGAGTTAGGAACTGAGTTATAAACACTGTGAACCTACCACCCAGCCTAAGAACCAAGATATTACCAATACCTTTTGCAAACTCCTGGGGTCCTGCTGTACCCCACCCCCACTCCCCTCACAGGGATTAGTATTTTGCATTTTGTGCTTTTTCCTCTTCTGACCTCCTAATGGAGTTTTATCACATGTGCACCTATCACCAAATAATATGTGGTTTAGTTTTGCTATAATACTGTGTGAAGTTTTATGCAATTTGCTGTTTCAATTCAGCGTTACCTAAGATTCATCTGTGTTGCTGCATTTTGTGAATTAGGGTACTTTCAATACTCCCAACAGCCCTGCAGACAAACTTAAGATATGATATACCCAAAAAAGTACATCTCAGTAAGCTCACCCACTCCAGGGGCCTGACTCCAGGGCCTCCTCTTCCCTCGAAAAGCATGTTGAGGGGCTGCTATGCACCAGGCAGTGACCAGGTGCTGGGCGTGCCACAGTGAACATGGCCACTTTCTGGTTGTTGCCTCTCCTCTTGACCCTCACTTGATTGGTGTATGGCTAGCTACCTGAACACCTGGGCTGCCCACACCTCTTGCACTCACCCATGGAATGGCTAAGAGAGGCTGATCTGACCCATCCCAGAGGCTTCTGCCCGGGGGAGGGCAATTTGACGGTAACCATCACAAGGACAAACAGCCACTTCTGACCCAGCAATGCCACTCCAGGAATTTGTCCTAATGGACACTTGAATGTGTACAGAGTGGCACTGGCAAATTTATTGCAGCATCATTTTTAATACCAAAGTAGTAGTAACAAATTTCTATCAATGGGAATCTAATTACAGTAAATTAACATTAGTTATGGGAAACCCATACAATGTAATACCACTGGCTATTAAAAAATCAAAGGAGGAGGCACTCACTGATCATGGAAAGCTCTCCAGGACAAATTTTATTCTTATTTATTTATTTTAAGTACTTTAATTGATTTTTAGAGAGAAGAGGGGGAGAGAAATGCCTTTACCGGGAATCAAACCGGCAACCTTTCTGTGTGCGGGACAATGCCCAACCAACTGAGCCACACTGGCCAGGGCACCAGGACAGATTTTAAAGGGCAGTGTGTGCAATGTTACTGTGGTATAAAAAGGAGGAAGAATGAAGCATACCTGACTGCTTAAATACTTCTAGAAGGGTTCATAAGTAAGTGGGGCCTGGGTGGGAGACTTTTTATAGTATCTATTTTGTATTTTTTTTAAATACAAGTAAGTAGCAAGGGCTACCTATTAAAAATACATAAATAAAATAATTTTAGTCTTTCAGTGTATATTTCTTGATCTTTCTTTGGCTTGTGGCTAGCCTTTGCTATCAGCAAATATTTTACCAGAGGCCCTTGCTTTTCCCAGTCCCCCCACTTTGGCACATTACACTCTGACAGCCCCACCCTCAGCCCCCTTTTCAGACAAGGGTGGCAGCCTGGGGCTGGGGAAACCTGCGACAAGGTGGAACTGTCTGCAGCTTGGGCAGATCAGTCCTCCCTGGATACTTGGGGTCAGGGGCCTCTGCTGATTTGAGGCTTGACTCCCACTGCTGGAACTCCTTGGTTTAATCCTATACCTCCGTCAAGAAATCTAGAAAATTGAAAGTTAGGAAGCATATCCCTGTCACCCCACCATCTGGCCTATCAAATGCTCTCTAAGCAGGGGCAGACAAACCTTTAGAACTTGGAAGGTCCCTCTCACTCTCCTTTGGGTCTCAGGACACAGCCAAGAGTGCCCAGTGCACAGGGGCTGCGTCTTCTGGTCTGACCCCCATTTCAGCTGAGAAACCCAGTCACTAGAAGTCAGAGCACCTAGGGCTCTGCTAGAGTGTGGACAAGGGGACAATATGACACCCATGGATTGCCTGGAGCCCTAAGGACTGGACTGCTGTAGGCTCTTCACATAAGCTGCCATCTACCCACCACTCACTCATCAAATATTTCTCAACAGCCCACCAGGTGTAGAGAAGTTCTTCTTAACACTTGCCTTGAATATCAGAGGGAGTTGGTTGGGCCAAACTCTTCCCCAGACCCAGGGCCTCCCCACCCCCTGCAGTCCTGGTCCTGCCTATGCACCAAACCCCTCCTTCGAGGCCAGTTGCCATCTTATGTCCTTGGCCTCACTTGCCCAAAGGCTCTGGTCAAGAGCAGCCTGGTCAGTGCCTGGGGCAATAGGAGGCTCTCTAGGGTAGGGAGCCCTCTAATTGGGAAACCTGGGCAAATGACAATGCAGCCTTGGATGGATGGATGTGCCCTCAAGGTGCAGGCTCCAGCAAGAACAGCTTCCCTCACTTGAGGCTGGTCCACATTTTGGTAGTGGCCCCTCTGTGAGCCCAGGGCCTGGCACTGAGGAAGCCCTTTGGGGAATACTTGTTAAATGGACTCAGGCTAATCTGACTAGAGTTTAGCCTGATGATGGTGCCCGCATTCAGTAGGTCTGGCCTGACCTAGCACACTGATACCTAGGCAGCAGGTGGGAGGCAGGGAGGCAGCCCCAGGAGTGGGCAGGAAATACAGGTCATGGCAGGCTATCTCCAGAGGCCTCCCTGGGGCTGGGTGGAGCAGTCCTTGGCTGGCCCCTCCTGGACCCTGGCTGCCTGGTAAGATCCTATATGGGGCAGGGCTGCCCCAGATGAGAGTCCCTTTATTGAAGGGACTCCCATATACAAGACCCCTTGGCCACACTACAAAGCTAAGGGCTCATCCTGAGCAAGGGAACCCAGAAAGACAGTGTCCCGAGGTGCCTTCTGGGAACACTGACCTCCCCATTACTGATGCTTGGCACCCCCATGAGGGAGCCACCACAACACTGGGGGCCTTCCCTTCCATGGTGCATCCTCAGCACTGGTGCCACAGAAAGATGTGCTGGAGGGAGGGGGTGGAGAAGGAAAATGAGGCAGTGGGCTCAGCTCCCCCCTGACCCACAAGGACCAGTGGAATAAAATCAAACCAGCTTTAATACCAATATAGTTCTCTCTTTTAAATATGTTCCCAGACAGGGTGCAGGGGCAGGCTTTTGGCAGGAAGAATGGAAAGGAAATGTGGAACAAAATGGAATGGATCACCCAAGGCCTGCCCCCACCCTACCCAGGGCCTCTGCCACGGGGCACTAGGGCCTGGGCTGCTGGAAGGGGAGGGGGAGGTGACAGCAGCTTCCTCTGGTCCAGTTATTGCAGGGGTGTGGAAAGGGCTCTCCTCCCCTCCACAACCCAAAACTTCTCAGGATTATTACTGCTTTTTGGCCCAGCAGAGCTGGGGCCTGGGCTCCACTGATCTGGGAGGGGCCCCTTTGCCTAAAATGGACTGCAGCTAAGGCATGGGGGGAGGGTGCCACTGGCTAGGCCTGGACTGCTCAGTAACTGCTCTGATGGCCCGTGAGAATGTAGAGGTTGCTGTGAGCCCCAGGGTTGTCGGTGGGAATGCTTTCAAGGATGATGTCTCTGGAGGGGCGGGAGAGAGGCGGATGTAAGCAAGGCAGACCACACTTGGGCACATCCATCTGGCCTTGAGGGCATCTGAAAGGGAGGCCAGGGCACCATGTCCTACCTGTGGGCCCCAAGCACTCGGAAGACTCTCGTCTCATCTGTGATCTCTTGGGTCACCTGAGAAGAAAAGGGACACTGAGGCTACCCCAGCGGGTCCTCTCCTAAGAGGCAGAGACCACTGAGTAAAGGGCAGCCAGGTTCCCGTTCCTGAGCCCCACTCACCTCATTGGTGTCCAGGCTGCGGCCTTGCATTCCATGGCTCCAGAAGGCTAGCACGCTGTCCTGCAGACATACTAGGAGGGGCAGGGCTGCTATGAGTCCTGCGCCTGCCCTGAAGATGTTGGCTTCACCAGCCACGCCCTAGGCCCAGATCTTGTGTACCACAGGTGACCAGGATGGCTCTTAAGAGGGCCTAGGGGACCTGACTTCTTGTCCTGCTGCCAGTGGAAAGGCCCGGGATACTCCCACCCCTACCTCTGTCTGCCTCACTCACCCACAGTCTCAATGGGGAAGTCAAAGGTCAGCACAGGAGCCAGTGTGGCTGTAGGCTCGCCCAGCAGGTTGACAATCCTCACGCAGCCTGCACAGGGAGAGGGCTGGTGGGCAGGGAAGGGGTGGCTCCCTTCTGGGGAGATGACCCAGATGGCTTCCCTCACCATCTCCACCCTCCACTGTCCGAAGCCTTAACCCCAGAGGCACTCACGGTCAAAGCAGACTAGAACTGTGTCCCTGTCCACCTGGATCACCTGCTGGGCCGAGCCTGGGAGCCCCTCTATAGGCAGAGAAGGGAAACATGAGCCACCAACCCTGTTGTTGCCCCAAGAGGAGGACATGGGGACATGCTACCAGCAGCCCTTGGCCACAAATGTATTTCATTCTTCCAACCTGGCAGGTCAGAATCTCACTGCACAGCTAGGGAACTGAGGCTCAGAGGCAGTGACCCTTCCTCAGGCTCACAGGGAGCTGGGGGACGGCAGGGGCTCTGGAGTCCGGAGAACCAGGCTTTGGGACTCAGTCGCTGTGTGACCTTGAATCTGAGCCTCGGTTTCCTCATTCATAACACAGGCATGATGATGCTACCCTTGCAGGGCCATTGTGAGGACTGAGGATGAAATCCTGTTCGTTAGACCCCTGGCTCAGGGCCTGGGGCACAACAGGGCTTCAGTTCAGTGCACTGTCTCTTCTCCTTTACCCACTGCCACTCACTCTGCTCCCGTGAGCTGTCCCAACACCCAGTGTCCTGCTTCCTTGTTCAGAATGGAGCCTCTGGAACCCACTTTGCCCAGTCTGGCTCTGTTCCTGCAGCCCCTGCAGTGTTGGTCAGTTTCTTCTTGCTGCTGAGCCCTTTGATCTAATGAAATCTTTTACCAGAGCCCAGCTGAAGGGAGGCTGGAAGCTCAAGGTTTACCGGAGCCCAGCTGAAGGCTGGCCCTCAAGGTTTCTGTGTGTGTGTGTGTGTGTGTACACACACACACACACACACACACACACACACACACACGGCAACCCAGCCCTCCTGCTTACCAGGTGGTATGAGTACATCAGGTGTCAGACCGGCCTCCAGGGGCAGGACATGGAACAGGACACGGCAGCCAGGCCCCTCAGGGCCCTCGGCCCCCACACACACCTGCGGTAGCTCCTTTCCATCCAGGACCAGTGGCTCCAGCATCGCTGCTGGACTGGGCAAGGGGCTGGAGAAGTTCTGGAGGCAGCAGGGGTGCTCAGATCTTCATGTCTTCCCCCAATCCCCCTGCCACCCACTGGGGGATCCCCTTGGCCTCAC